TTTTCTTCCTTTTGGACCCTACTTCCTCTTGAAGACCTCCAGGATGCAGTGGTTCGTACATGTACCCTTAGGAATTGGAACCCTAGGCCGGCGTGTGGCGCCGCTGTCAAGTCAGTACGCATATCCATGAGCGCGTCTCTCCTAGTGAGAGTCCGGGATGAGCCCGCAGAGTGCCTCCCGTGGACCCGTCGAACGGGGGATTGTCGTTATCTTCCTTGCTTTGGAGATGAAAGTGTCCGGAGCGGACAGCAGGTGGCCTAGGCAGAACGTATGATGATTTTTGTCCCATCTTTGGAATCCAAGTTGGCTCATGCCTTTACGTGACCGAAGCGGTCAGAGGTGGCCGCCCTTGGGCATGCCGTACGTGGTCGCAGCGACCAAAGTTTGTTCAAGGTTCATTGGAACCTGTGGAGAACTTAGCCCCCTTCTCCCCCTTCCCTCCCCCTTTCTTTCTTTGCTTTCTGGGGTTTTCCTGAATGTAATACTCAGGATCTCCCCTTTCTTTCTTTGGTGTGTCCCTGGACGATTGTTCGTAGCTGGGAACACCTCTTTCTCTCCTCTCCCTTTCTCTTCCTCTCTCTTTCTTTCCTTCTCTTTTTCCTCTCTTCACGCTCTTCCTTGGGCGTCCCTGGACGCTTTCGTCATAGCTGGGAGCCCTTCCTTTTTGGTGTGTCCTTGGACGCTTGCGCCGTAGCTGGGAACACCTTTCTTCCTTCTCTCCCTCCTTCTCTTTTCCTCCTCCCCTCCCCCCTCTTTCCCGCGCGTGGCGTATTTACAAGCAAACTAGGCTTTTGCAACAGGTTTCTCAATGAGGTTTGGGCTGTCATCGGTTTGTCCCCTTTCATTTGGTTCCCCTTTCATCCGCCCCCACAGACTTTTTTCCCTTCTTTCCTTTCATGTCCTTCTGTCTTCATGTCTCTTCATCCTCATCCTTTCTTTCTCTTGCGCGCACTATCGTCCGGACCTTAGTTTGTACACATACACGCGCGCGTACAGCGAGGTTCAGGTGGCCCAGGTTCGTTACAATGAGGTTTGGCTCATCGGTTGTCCCTCTTCACTTTGTTCCTTTTCATCGGCAACCACACACACCTTTGTCTGTCTTGTCCTTCTCATTTTCATCTGTCCCTTTTGCGTGCACATGTGCCTACCTCCTTTCCGGGCAGGATGGAGGTCACACATGCCTCCCTTCGGGGAGGCGTGCGTGTGTGTAACCCTTGGAATCACAGGGATCCTTTCGGATTGTTCTCGCTTTTGGTGTTTTGAGCTTTTCAGCAGGGGGCAGTAGCCCACTCATGAGTCTACTGCCAACGAAGCTGCTCATGAGTTGGGAGGATATCGGAGCTGATCACTCCGACGTACCTGCAAGTTTTGTGATGTTCTCAAGCTGTGACTCAAATTTCTTTAAAGGGCTAATGAGTTCTGCAGACGTGCACGGACCGTCGTCAGCCTGTTCGACCCGCGACCGTCGTTCGTTTTCTTCCTTTTGGACCCTACTTCCTCTTGAAGACCTCCAGGATCCAGTGGTTCGTACATGTACCCTTAGGAATTGGAACCCTAGGCCGGCGTGTGGCACCACTGGCAAGTCAGTATACGCATATCCATGAGTGTGTGAGTGAGAATAGAGCGAGTGAGTGAGTGTGAGTGCAAGCGTGTGTGACTATGAGTATGAGTGAGAGCGAGAGGTGAGCACCGGAGAGCGCAAAGCGCTGCGCCTGCCACGGAATCTTCACTTTGACGTTCACAAAGCGCTGCGCCTGCCACAAAAACTGCACTTCGAGGTTTACAAAGTGCTGCGCCTGCCACGAAATCTGCATCGAGGTTCACAAAGCGCTGTGCCTGTGCTTGTCACGAAATCTGCACATCAAGGTTCACAAAGCGCTGCGCCTGTCACGAAATCTGCACGTCGAGGTTCACTAAGTGCTGCGCCTGCCACGAAATCTGCACTTCGAGGCTTTGAGGTTGACAAAGTGCTGCGCCTGCCACGAAATCTGCAAACGATCCACATGTGCAAAAGCTATGATTCACTGCACCTGTCACGAAATCAGAGCGCCTCGAAGATAGATCACCATCATGTCCAAAGCACTACACTTTCCATGAAATCTGCACTTCGAAGCAAAACCGCTCCGATCCCTTGCACCTGTCACGAAAAGTCGACTTTGGACCACCAAAGCACGAGGCTTCCCTCGCGCCTGCCACGAAAAGTGACCACCGTCTGCGAAAATGCGCACGGCACCACAACGAGAGCGCAGTTGGGACAAGCACCTGCCGTGGCCACCCAGATTTCGCGAGCCTGCGCAGTCGAAATGCACGTCGATGATTTCGAGAGACATGAATGTACTGTAAATAGCAGCGAATTAGCCGCACACGCCCGCGCTGCCCACTCGATCTAGCCCCGGTGCTTAACCACTACCGTAAGAACCCCTAAGTGTGTCCACACTGTTTGGAGAATGAAAAAATGGAAGCATGGAAGCAGGCAGACAGGCAGGCAAGCATGCGCGCAAGAAAGAAAGGAACGCTGGAAATACCAACAAAATGTCAATACTGGCTGGCCAACGTGCTGTTCATTGCCGCAGAAGTGGACAATGGGATATCCAAAGTGCTGTAAATCTGCAAGTAGCAGAAGTTGACGATATCGAAGGGCTGTATATGCCAGCGACAAGCCAAACACATGCTGCAAATAGTAGCAGAAGCTTCTACTGTGATGTCCAATGTACATACCAGCAAACAGTGAACCCAAAGGATGCTGAACAATTTCAGAAAACACTACAAATAGTTTAACAATGGCAAATAATTATAGACCATCCCGAAAGCATCCCGAATTGAATCTGCCCCCGCTTTTGGACTGGTGTGCTACTTGCCACTTGCCCTACTTTCATCTTTACGCGCTTGGGAGAATTGAAATCCCGTCTTTTCCTTGCTGGCCGCAACTGACCTTTAATTAGGAGAGGTGGAAATGTCAAATCTTTGCTCTCCAGCCTGTGCAGCAGCGATGCGCTGTTTGACATCAAGATATGAGGAAGGCCTGAATAGAAAAGCACAGGAAAGAGAAACTGATAAACATCTCTCAAACTGGGAAACCACCCAGATTGTCAATGTTGAGAAAGGTTACACGAAAATCTAGTCTGGAAGACACACATCTTGACATCCAGTTTGTCTCAAACCTATAAATAACAAAACTGCTCAGCTCTCGGCTCGTCAAACATGTACACTTGAGCATCTTGGACACAAAGGACTGGCAGGTTGCTGGATGGGTTGCGGCAGGGGTCTTGTTCTGTGGCAGGTGTATCCACCAGCGACGGCCTCCAACCTCATAGCGATGGCCTCCAACCTAATAGCAAATAGACAGGTGATAGGTGAGACCAAGTGACCCACTTTCTTGACCAGCTTTCTGAAAACCGTTTGAACCTTTGCAGTTGGGGGAAGCATTTGTCATCCCAATAGCTTCAATAAGCCATCTAATTACCATTCAGGCTGTTTGACCACAACGCCCCCCATCTACCAGCCGTTCGGGTCCGGACCACATCAACCAACTCACCAACTGGGCGACCCCTGTATATTCTCTCGCTCTCTCTTGCATGTGCTCACCATACGCAATCCACGTGAATCCAAACACACCTGCATGACCGGTAAATACTGTAAGTCTTCCTTTTGCAGCCTTGCAGTCGACCCTTTGCCTTTTTGATGTTTGTCTTGAGCTGATGATCTGACATCAACAACACTAAGGGAACATAGGCCATGAGATTCACTTGGGCCGCCAAGCCATGACCGCTCAGCAAGCCAGCAAGTCTCTATCCGAATGACAAACACAAACGCATTCTTAAACAGCAGGTGCCTGCAATAGAGAAGCGCTGAAGCTCACCACCAGAAAGATCCTTGATTTGTCGCTCCTGGAATGTTCAATCTCCAGGAGATCTGCTTTGGTCTGTCCCGGTGCGTCAGTCTTTCCTTCTCTGAGCCTGTATAATTTTAGATGTGAGGTTGAAAAACTCGGCGCCTGCAAGTGATCAAGTTCCAGCTCCTTGCAAAAGTGCTCCTCTGCAGGCTGAGAATCGATTTTGATGACACAACGGAAGGAGGTGGGAAGAGAACTTGTGCAGATTTGGTGCAAATACGAAGCATGAATGCTCCAAAATTGAGATATCTTTTAGGCCTCTCTCTCTATCTATCTATCTATCTATCTGTCTATCTATCCATCCATCCATCCGTCCGTCCATCCATGCATCCATCCATCCATCTCCATCTCCATCTCCATCTCCATCTCCATCTCCGCCTCCATCTCCATCTCCA